TAGAAATCTGGAGGTATCCGACATGATGTGAAAAGTTAAAACTCCGATCATCAGTTTTAGACTACATTAGTTGTGATACAGACGAAAAGCCTGCAAAATTACTCATTCGACTCCCCCAGTGGGTGAGTAATATTCCCCTCGAGATACAGGGGATTTTGTGTAGGATAAATTGCGTACGAGATTACTCCATCTGAAAAGTCAAATGTAAGGTGCCTGTTAGACAAGAGTTACCTTGACCATACACAGCAATAGTCAGATATGAGAGAATCAGGGCTGTCTCTATGGGAGAGACAATAAACAAAGGGAAACAGCCTGTCTCCAACGGAGGATGTCCGCTCTTTAGAATAAATGACCGAATATCTATGGTGTCTTCATGTAGCCCTGGGAGTTAGCAACAGGAAAGCTTGTAAATATACTCGCAAAGTTATCTTTTTCGGGAGATACTCTTCAGCACAGACCGGCACTCAGAACGGGACATATTCACGTGAGCCATGGATGCTGAAATTGGCTTATCTGCACTCGTAGCCCAACTTCGTGAAGCTGAGTGGGGAGGCCTGACACCAGACGTAATTAATATGTGGGCTGGCTGAATCCCAAATTTTTTGGGAGTCTGGCTTGTCTCAAATGAAACTGTTCAGCAGTAAATAGGCTTTGAAATTTAATTCAGAGCTCCAAGAAGGGCGAAATCGGTCGTGGTATGTTGACGAATTTTCAGCAACATTATGAGTAGTGCATTACAAATGTATACATGTATCGTGATATCTCGAATATCGTGGCCACTGAAACATGAATCGGCCTGGTGTAGCACATTCAATTGCCTGAAAACATCACAAACGGAAGATTCAGCTGGGTTCCAGGTGAGCCTCTCGAAAAACCAAATTAGTTTGCAAATCAGTGTATTTCGCAAATTTCGTGCAACTTGGTTTCAAGTAGAACCTAAGGTCGACGGAAAATCGGGGACGGAGCCCACCTGATGAGCCCGAAGTGGAAGGGAGAAACCGTTCGTGGACTGTCGACGAATTTGCAGCAACTTTATGAGTAGTGCATTACAAACTACTTTAGACCTCTTCAGTAGTTCTACCTTGGGCGATACAGATCACCGCCAAAACATCCATTTGCAATGACTAGAATATTATCTTGTCTCTCTTTTATCACAGAGTGAGTCCTAATTTAGCGACCCCGTCTTCTAGAGAAAGCAATTTCTGCTCCATTTGTACCATTCAGACCGAAGAGTCATATGCTGTTGTAAAGGAGGACAGACAAGTCATTGCTCATCATTTGGTATAAAGAACTCAACATTTGCATGGGATCCAGACGGTAACGTTGTAATCAGAGTGAACTAAAACTCAGTGTGTTTCTCTACTTAAACGACACACTTAGCTTAAAAATTAGTGTGAAACAGACCTACATTTGATGAAAAGCCATCCTCTGATCAAGGATGAAACGTTTTCTTCATCGCGAGCAAGGTTCTCTCCTTTGAGTTGCCTTGCATGGGTGCTCACTCCTGAAACAGAACCTGAAATAACACACCTGGCCAGGAGTGTTTCTTCGTGAGAGATGTCCTTCTCTCAACAGTGTGCTTCGAGTCATTAAGTAACGAATGGTTACTTGCACCAACCTGAGGTATTTTAGCCTAAGTGTTTGGGATTCTGATTCATTCCAGTGAAAAGACGAAATTGTTGTCCATTTCGACGATATTCACGTCGGCTGAGTGCACATCGAATCCGTCTCTGACACGGATTTAGATAAGCTGGTGAAGTAAACCTAAGAACAACATCAAGACGGATTTCGCTGATGATACCGAATGCACCGAAAGCAGACGAATGTTCCACCGTGAAAAAGAAACTGCCACTGAATTTCACAAAGTAGTATGAGACGTCTACTACGTTCGGTTCTAACCTGAAGTAGTTCTCGAGACGAGATTGCGAGATGGCTCAGTGGTTAGGGCGCGAATTTACTGACCGGAAAGTCCGTGGTTCGAACCCGACCTCCGCCTCTCGACTTCCCGTGGCTAGGCTTGGGCAACCTGGCAGTATCCCAGGCCTCGTGCTCCTTTCGGGTGGCCAGGCGGTTAGGCACCGAAAGGGTGCTACAGTCGACCGATTTTTCAAACTTTTTCTCTCTCAAAACGAAGAGTCAAGCTTTTATAATTCTTTCTATCAAAGCTACAAACATGTATTGTTATGCTTTTTTGTGCCGCACCGTGAAAATGCAAACTCTGCCAAACTTCCTAATTTCCGTTCTCAGTCGCGTGGGAATTTTTTGGAAATATTGAGACAAGGGGTAGTCAACCGGACTGGTGTTCGCCGTGCGCACATCCTAGCTCTCACACGTGACCTATCTGATTGCTTCTCCTGCCAAGATAATGCCATGCATCCGTTCACCGCGTACGTTTCCTCTATGCACTGATGCCTTAAATGAGAAGGTTGGGTGGATTTGGGTGTGTGTAGCCTCGTCTCCTGGAAGCCGATCCTTCTTGTTCACGGCTTATTTGGAAGCCTTTGGTCATTCATTGCAAACTTCAGTTATGAATCTTTTCGGCTAACACTGACCCGTTTGACAATTCAATGATATTCTCTGTCCCACGAGTATTTCTAACATTGTATTAGCAGCAGTTGATGTTCCCATTTCTGACTGGTTTTTACTTCTGAGTCAGCTACCTGATAGCTGTTGATACCGAGTTTATTCCAAGACTCAGCTGTGCCGTCTTGCACTGAAAGCCATGAATTTGCACTTTTGTTGGTTAGTGAACCCACTTCTTAGAATGTAAGACCTCTGTAATCAAAATTTGGTCGGAAAAGGTCAAGTTCAGCAGAAACGTACTCTAAAGGTCCGCCTAATTTGAGTTGGTAAGAATGACGTCACCGAAGGTAATGAAAAGAAGGCGAACTTGTGTCAAACCAGACATTCAACCCTTAACGAAAAGTCATGGCATTTTGCCTTACTAGTCGAAGGTCGAAGCATTTTACTTTAGCAGTTACTGCTTACCGCCAAGAATCTGTTGGAATCCAAGGCGCGTGTTAACTGAACTAATTAGGACTGCATTCAGACTGGCTGCATGCACTCGGATTTGGTTACATCCAGATCGGGGGGTTGCGAAATTCCCCGTTATCAGTCTGTTAGTGCTGAGTAAACTTCAAAACTTTCTTTGTTTTTGTTACTATGCTTGAAATACGGAGAAGGTGGTGCGTTTTGTTCTTACGCCTCAGTCATTTGGAAAAATTTTTGGGAAAAAAACTACAATCGGCAAATGTTTTACAAGATTCGAACACGTGACCCTTTCACCGGTGAGTATCAATGATGAAACTCTAAGGAAACAAGCAGAGATTGGAATTTACATAATAAACTACCAACTCAAGACGGTGTCCATAGTTCATTTCATTGACTGATACTTGTAATTTATGAGTTATTGCTCGCTCTCTTCCGCCCACCATCACATCCTTTGTCTCTTAGCACACGAAATTTAAATACGTATTACTTAAAGTCCAAGTGAGTAGGTGCGAACCGTAGAAAACCAAAAAGGGTACCGTGATAAATGTACTCGAAAGTTAGACCAAGGATAGCTTTGGTTGAAATACCAAACCCCGTATGTTCTGAGAATCTATAACTAGCGACGAACCTCTAATCTAATAACACTCCTTAAAATGTGTCCCTCTCTGAAACGATCATGATATTTTGCAAATCGATTGCATTATGTGAGTTACATTCCTGGAAAAATAAAAACCGAAATTTCGAGAACTACACTCATTTGCAAATCAATTTGGTTTTCTCGAGAGACTCAACTGAATCTCTTGTTTATCCTATTCTACAACTGAATGTGCTGCACATAGGCCGCTTCACGATTCAGTTGGCACGATATTCGAGGAATCGCAGTATATTTTCATGAAGAAAACTACTCACAAGTTTTCTGAAAACCCTTCGTCAGCCCACAACCGGTTTCACCCTTCTTGGGGCTCATCAGATAGGCGCAGTCCCCAAGTTTTTACTCGGATGCTGAATCGAGGAGATCCACTTGGACCCAAATTGGAAATTATACTGAAAATATATTGCGACATCTCAAATATCGTACCGATTGAATCATGAGGCGGCCTGTGAGCAGCACATTCAGTTGTAGAATAACATAACCGAGAGATTCAGTTGAGTCTTTCGTGAGAACCAAATTGATTTGCAACTGAGTGTAGTTCTCGAAAGCAGTCCAATTTGGGTTCAAGTAGAACATGAGGTTGCTGAAACTCGGCGACTGCGCCTAACTGATTAGCCCAAAGTGGAGGGGCGAAACCGATCGTGGGCTGGCAAAGAGTTTTAAGCAACCTTGTGAGTGATTTCCTTTATGAAAACTGGAATTTCATTCTGTAATTAAGTCCAATCTATGCCGAAAAGTCGAGAAGCACAGTCCCATCCTTTTTGCGAATCATCGACAGTGCGGATCTCACGAAACCCTAGCGAGTCTACAGCCCGAGACTTCCTGGTTAAGAGTTGAACACTTAACCGTTCGGCAGAGAGTGGTGGTGGTGATTACCCCGAAATGTTTTCGATCTTCCTTCACTCACAGGTGCCAGGTGACGTTGTTCACGTCGTGAATGATCTCTTAAGTGACACTTCTCAGATGACAGTTTCACTCATCTTGTGAAATTATACTTTCAAAATCCTTATAGTCTGATGTCAGTGTGCAAAGTTTCTGTAATTTGCACTTCAAATTTCGTCCGGTAAGTGAAGCCTTCATGGGAGGCATTGTCGGTGCGCACCTCCCCCGAAACTCCAGGAAGTGGCAACAGGTTGGCCTTTTCGCGACAGAAGCCATTTTTACGGGCCCTACGACTGATTGGAAGGCCGTTAACTGAGCTTTAATGGTGATGAACAGTCAAACAGCACGGCTGTTTACTCTCAGTTCTAGCTCGGGGACTGAGGGCTGTACAAATAAAGTCACTACCTAATAAAATTTTTGTCGAATCATCTGGAAAGCCTTGAAATTTGCGATTCCTTGTGCCCAACTACCCTACATGAATATTGCAAACGATTTCGCGAACGCTACACACACGTACGCACATCTGCGGGAAGTCAGCCAGTGTCAATCTGCTTACCACGCTGTCCATGTATTTGAACGTCCGCGGCGGTTAACAAAACGTAGCCCTGAATAGCGGATACGGTAAAGCCAGTGTGTGTACAGTGATGTGCAGTTTTGATCTTCCTTGTTGCATGAAAGGCACCACCATTTAATGGGACCAAGGCGGGAAGTTTGATTATACCAAATGTCAGAGATGGAAGGAGAAGGCATTCGTTTGTTTTTGTTCATCCGCCACGCTGCATGCAGTAGTTGGGGGGTCCCACCTCATCAAGCGACGAACAGTGCCAGGTGGACGTACTTCTGTCTACAAATGCCACATAGACTTTTATCGACTGGGTGCCACGACCCTGACACACAAGGAGTACCAAGATACTCTCCTCAAAAACCGCCTGATTTCATTGTAGCAAAAGTTTGGGGGAACAATTTGAGGCATGAGCTTACCGACCTTCGTCAGCCGATCAGCTTGCTGGCTGCGGCTTGAGCAGCATGTCAGGTGACAGACCAGCCACTGTATCACAACAGTGCATCTTGGAACTATACTCGTGAGTCGACTGGACTGCTGGTCAGCCAATAAAAAACCAACTGCTGTTCCTACGGCAGTTATGAGACACGCATCTCCGGTCAGCTTTCAAAACATGGGGTAATTTGTTTTGGGGAATGACGTATTTGTATAAATCCCAGCTAGGCTTCCCTGTCGCGCACGAAATTCCTTTAAAAACAGTGTTGGCTGTAGGAGCGAAGATTGCGTCATGACTGGTCTAACAGGCGACTTCCAAAGACGAACCACTTAAGCCTCCGTGTCAGACGAAAATATGCGATGGCGAAATGCAAATGCAGTCATGTCACAAGTTGGCAAATCCTAGTCAACCTTTTTCGTAGTTTAGACCCTCGTTTTTCAAGATACCAATTCTAGTTTGAACAGATCACAAACCTCGAGAAATACACTCATTTGCAAATCGATTTGGTTTTCACGAGAGACTCAACTGAATCTCTCGTTTAGGATATTCTACAACTGAATGGGCTGTCGAAGAGTTTCGAACAAACTTGTGAGTAGTTTCCTCATGAAAATTTCTACTTGAACTCAAATTGGACTGTTTCGAGAAATGCACTCATTTGCAAATCAATTAGGTTTTCACGGGAGACTCAACTGAACCTCTCGTTTATGAGTCTCTCGTTGAGTCTTTCGTGAAAAAAAATGGATATGCAAATGAGTGTATTTCTCGAAAGTAGTCCAATTTGGGTTCAAGTAGAACATGTGGTTGACGGAAACTCGGGGATTGCGCCTACCTGATGAGTCCGAAGTGGAAGGGCGAAACTGGTCGTGGGCTGTGGAAGAGTTTTCAGCAACCTTGTGAGTAGTTCCCTTCATGAAAAAAGATCACAAACCTCTTTATTGGTTACTTAAATTTGCGAAACCAGAAAGTCAAGTAGCGTGTGTGATACTGGGTTGGAAAACGCTTACCCCCAAGGAAGTGGCGTGGGTACGCTGACGCCAAACGTGGTTAAAATCCTCTGCACGCGGCATAAACTACCGGATGGTTCAAAAATGATTTCTAGAATCCAGAGGAATGTGGTTTTTGAAATTCGTCGGCTGAACCTAGCAGCGTACGGTGACAAATCAACTCTAGTCTTATCACCAATCGTACGAGGTTCATGAGATTACTCTGGATCGTGATGCAGCGCACGCAGTGGCTTCGTGGATAGTCATATGACCCACAGTCTGGTCTTTTCCAACTAAAGGTTTGTGATCACCTAGATCCAATTCTAAGTGAAGCGTTGTAACCTTTTTCTGACTGGAAGCTCAAGCGATTGAAGTTTATTGCAGCGGGTTTAGAGGAAACCATTGGTTGGTCAGGTAGCGTAGATGGTGGTCGTTGGCTTGTTCGCTGAGCTGGGCAATTTGATTGCAAAAGTTTCATCACCAATCAAGGTGACATCATCAGTACGTTGTTAGGGATGTTAGGTGGTGCGTAGCGACGGGTCGATGGTGGTTGTGCGTGTGTTGTAATATACGTACTGCTGGCCGGAGCTGGTCGTTGCGTATACTGCCACCAAACAGCGTTTTGTTTGCATAAAGGGAACTACTCACAAGGTTGCTGAGAACTCTTCGACAGCCCACGACCGGTTTCGCCCTTCCACTTCGGGCTCATCAGATAGGCGCAGTCTCGTTTTAATTCCCGTGTTTGTTTCTGGTTGCAATTAGAGAATCGAAGTCTCACCTATGAACCTGTACACGTAGATCAACAAACTGCTTATCATGTTTACAAACATCCAGGTAAACAGTTTGAAAATGTTTGCTTTCAAGGGGTTATATTTGTGGGTGATAAGATAACGACTCCCAAGCCTTCTGTTTGCTTTGGATAACACGGATCAACGACCCTGGATGACTTATTTTTATTATGGTTGGTGCTCCCCTGTCATATATATATATATATATATATATATAATATGTACGATGTTTACGACCACCACAGAGATAAGTCGACCGACATCCCTGTATTGACGCATCACTTATATCCGCCACCGCCTCTCATAGGAACCTATCCACTCCCACACCGCCCCAGACCATCGTGTAGAAAAGTTTGGCAGCGTCTCTATAGAGGAAAATGTTGGTAGCTCAGGTAGCGTAGATGGTGTTCGTTGGCTTGTTCGCTAAGCTGAGCAACTTGATTGCAAACGTTTCACCACCAATCGAGATGACATCATCAGTGCGCTATTTGGGAGCGTAGTAGTGCGTAGCGGTGGGCTGCTGAAAATTCGCCGCAACCTTATGAGTAGTGCATTACAAAGATATACATGTATTGCGATATCTCGAATATCGTAGCGACTGATACATAAGGCGGCCCGCGCAGTACATTGCCTGGAAAGGAAACATCACACATGAGAGATTCAGCTGGGTTCCAGGTGAGTCTCCCAAAAAACCAAATTAGTTTGCAGATGAGTGTACTTCGCTATACTATGAGCCATTCTGACAACTTATGACAAAGAGTCCGATGGGAGAGGTTAGGCGGGAACACAGATTCCGCAGGAGTAACGTTTAGTCACCTGACTGGCTTGAGTTGAACACGCCGACGAAAATCTTATCAATGACAGGCCGACTTTAATTCAGTCGGTTACTTGGGGCCGAACGAAAATGAAACCGTGTGCGGTACATTGTGGAAAAATTCGATAAACAGTGTCAAGACGTGAGTTGCATGACCCTAAGAACGTACGAGGGCTAAGAGAAATGGCGAAGCTTTCTCGACACACTATTTGGGATAAACGAGAAAAAAACGAGAATAAACGTGAAAATTCAATTGAGTCTCCTGTGATCATCATCAACACTATCTGTTGTAAGAACCGCATACTCGTCGTACAGTTGTTGTAGCTGCCACAGACCCGTTCCGTGAAAACCGAAGTGATCCGCAAATGAGTGTGTTTCTCGAAAACAGTCCAATTTGTGTTCCAGTAGAACATAAGGTTGACGGGAACTCGGAGGCTGTGCCTACCTGATGAGCCACAAGAAAGGCGAAACCGGTCGTGGGCTGTGGAACAGTTTTCAGCAACTTTGTGAGTAGTTTCCTGTATGCGGCAGGAAGTCGTTTGATTGCAGTAGGAAGAGAAAACCAAAGAATCGCACGTTAAACTGAAATGCAGAACAACAAGCACACTAAGAAACAAAGGTGGATGATATGAATTTTTTTATGCTTGGATTTAGTTGAAATGTCAACCAGACTATGTGTCGTTCAGAAGAAGCTGTATTATCGATGTAATATACTCATAAGGTTGCTGAAAATCCATCGACAGCCCACGACCGGTTTCGCCTTACAATTTGGGCTAATAAGGTAGGCACAGTACCTGGGTTCCCGTCAACCTTATGCTCTACTTGAAACCAAATTGCACAAAATTAGCAACCTTATGAGTAATACATTACAAAGATATACATGCATCGCGATATCTCGACTATCGTAGCGACTGAAACATGAGGCGGCCTGGTACAGCACATTCAGTTGCCTGAGAACATCACAAACGAGAGATTCATTTGGGTTCCAGATGAGTCCCTCGAAAAACCAAATTAGTTTGCAATTGAGTGTATATTCGCTGTTTTATCGATCTTTTGACCAATGCTTTACACAATAGCACGTTTGTGCCTTTGATTGCTGATTCAAACAAGAGAGGAATTGGCCCTTTTGAGTACATTTATTTGAGAAATATTGCAAATAGATGCACTACTGTCACTTCTCTCCTAAAGCCAGATTAATCTGCAAGTCGGTTTGTGAATCTTCTGTTTTTTTAACACTCTGTTCACACATTCATACATTCAGTTATTGAGCTTTCACGGGCCGAATGATTTCATTGCTGATGAAGAAAAACACATGGCCGCCCAGTTCTCTCTGTTCATACGGACGTCATCTGGTGCAATCGGTTAAACTGGCATTCACATTTGGACAATCCACCGGGGAATTACGCAATTTAGTCACGCTTTTTCCCGTTCAATTTAGGCTAAACTATTATTATTTATCCCGAAAACCAAAATAACCGGGCATATTTTTCTTTGTTGTTCGATTTGAGTAAGTAATACGTCCGATTACCCGGGGAAAAAACAAGAAGTCTTTGCCCTTCTGCTTTCTGTCAGGTTATTCCCTCATCAGCAAAGGGAACACTCTGCATGGCCTGGATAAACGGTTCAGGTTTGAGTTAAAACCTTCTAGCCATAAAATTTAAAACGTTTGACATGGGGTAGTAGTAGTCATTGGTGAAAGGTGTATTGTTTGTCTGTATTCTTTGCATTCTTTTTGTGACAGCGTACTTCCGCTGAAAGGAAGAAGGCCTTCGCTGCGGAGATGTTTATTAGAGAAACGCCAACTGAACGGTTACAGACTATTGGAGCGGTACTCTCATTGGCATCTTGCTTACAAAGGCGGAATATCCATCTTCTCCTTGAACGCGTCTTCCTTCCTGGATATTCACTGACTGTTACTAAAATGCAAGCAAATGTGACTCCAAAAATTCCGCAATAGATCTCACTTTTCAGGTGAGGCAAAGCGGATTTACGAGAAAACATACTGCTCGCATGCTCCCATCAGTAGTATCCACCGTTACACCACCAGAGTTAAAATCGATTGTCACTTACTTCTATGTCAATATGATTCTCATGACAGGACAAACTGTTGTCGATTCCGACAGACACCCTGCCAGCACGGATAGTTCAGAACCAGATTGTACAGTGCTGGGTTTCTTGAGGTCATGAAACCCAAGCTGAGAAGTTGAAAAAAGGACACCCTTTAAACGTGCTGCGTTGACGTGACCCTTTCGGAACAATTTTGTGTTTGTGACTTTCGAATTGAGTGTGCCTTGTGAAAATATTCTATGATGTCTCGAATATCGTACAAAGTAAAACAAGAGGTGGCCTTTGCGCAGCACATTCGTTTGTAGAATATCAGTTGAGTCTCTCGTGAAAACCAAATTGATTGCAAGTGAGTTTATTTCTCGAGAACAGTTCAGTTTGGGTTCAAGTAGAGTATACGTTTGACGGAAACTCGGGGACTACGCCTATCTGATGAGCCCGAAGTGGAATGGCGAAACCGGTCGCGGGCTATCGACGAATCTTCAGCAACTTTGTGAGTAGTTTCCTTTATGAAAACCTACTGTGATATCTCGAACAGCGTGCCAACTCAATCATGAGACGGCCTGTGTGCAGCACATTCAGTTGTAGAATATCATGAACGAGCGATTCAGTTGAGTCTCTCGTGAAAACCAAATTGATTTACAATGAGTGTATTTCTCGGGAATAGTTCAATTTGGGTTCAAGTAGAGCATACGTTTGACGGAAACTCGGGGACTGCGCCTATCTGATGAGCCCGAAGAAGGGCGAAACCTTTCGTAGGCGACCGAAGAGATTTTAGCAACTTTGTGAGTAGTTTCCCTTATGGAAATTGAGGGTTTCCCATTTGAATGGCCACCGTGGCCATGCCGTTGCTTGATGTGCACAGTGAATCAACCAACATGTATTGGTCTTTTGTTGTCCAGTCTCCACTTTGCCTGCACACTGCTGAATCGATACTGTCGGCAATTGAGTGTGTAGAGGGGATATGTTACAAAGTGGGCAATTGACACCGTCACCATTTGGAAGCAATTTTTGGTGAACATGATTGTGGAACTGAGAAATCTTGCCATCTTGTTGAAAAACACTTAATCGCTTCATTGCAGAAATATCAGACGAACAGATGAACGCAAGGATGTATTTTTATCCTCGTGTGGATGTAAAACATCCAATAGGAGAAATACACGTGCGTCGTCCACCTTTTGCGAGTGACTTTACACACAATTTATGTTTTTGGGACCGCGACGCAATCCACAATTGCCCATTCATTACGCACAATTTCTTGATGAACCGAGAGGCGTTTCTGTGTGTATCGACTGACCTTGTATGTTTGTAACCATCATGATCGTTCGCTACGTAACTTGGACATCATTGGGTGAACCATATGGAAGTTTTCCCCTAGTCCCCCACTCTCAAGTCGGTTTCTATTGTTTCCAAGCCTTCAGTTCTGATAGTCCTTGATCCCGGCGTTATTCTGAAGCCTCACTGCATCGTTCTATGTCCTCCACTGGTGTGAAGTGTTCCTTTTATACACCTATGTTTGAAGCTCGATAGCAACGGCCTCTTCCAACAGGTCAGTCACACTCATACTACGGCGACACAGATAGATAGATAGATAGATAGATAGAGAGATAGATAGATAGATAGATAGAATGATAGATATGTTGTTAGATATATAGTTGGATAGATAGATAAATAGATATACATTTAGATGGATGGATAGTTAGATACATAGATAGATAGATAGATAGATAGAAAGATAGATAGATAGATAGATAGATAAACA